CACTTACCTTGTCCTTCGCTCCCACGATGTGTCCCCTGAAGTGTCCCCGGCCATCTCCTGATGCCGGCATCCGGCTTCTGTGTTCCGGTCCCCGTGACGTCGGGACGTACGGGCGGCGGGGGGAAATTTGAAAATTTTAAAAAATGTCATTTTTTTCAAAACACATTTTTCACAGTAAAACATTGCTGTTTCAACCCATTTCACATACATATTGTCCCTAGTGCTTTGTCCTGTGCCCTGCCTACATTTTGTCTGTCTTTCTGCCTGGAAACTTAGAAAAATCCATGGCGTCCAAAAAATGTCCCTTTAGGTCAAAAGCGGTTTTAGACCAGCTAGAGAACAGCGATAGTAAATCAGAACCACTTGCAGAATTGAGTGATAATGATTCGTGGGGGAAATTCGTCATCAGACACTGAAAACGATTTTGCGACTTTGCTCAGCAATGTGCGAACTTGGCGCTATATTTCAAATTTCAGTGTTTTCGGTTTGATTATATTATTGAATTAAATGTATATTATATATTATTATTTTTTATGATTATTTATTAAATTATAATTTATGATTTCGTGTTTCAAATTTTATCATACCCGGGATGTTTACTAGACTCTTGTTCGGACAGATTTCAGTGAGTTATTCCTAAAAATTACAGCCTACAATAAAAAAACTACATATTTCCATGCAAAATAATGGTACCGCTTTCAGCACCAAAAATCTGAAATAATCATACCGCCAGGGAGGTTAATAATAATTTAGTTTGAAGTGTTTTCCTATATCTTGCCTTTTTTTTCTCTGTAGATCTGGAGAGGCAGAACATAGTGACTAGCATGAGGCTGTGTGCTCCCTAAAAGCCTTGTGAAAACCTTGCTTGATTGGACTATAGAAAAATAGTGCACAATTTGAACTAATCTAAATCAAGGGTACTGTAGCTTAGTGTATGTGATTCCTGGGTTACACCAGCATTTTTCTGAACTTGCTTTGATGGCGAGATGATTGGTGGTTCCGATATCAGCACTAACCAAAAATGACAAGGTCCATTGGGTATTCTCTTGGCATTTGTCCATTTTTGCTATGTGTGCTGTTTTTCATATCTGTCTCTGTATAATTGCATGCTCTAGTGGGTAGTTAAGAGGGTAGTTGACTAAAGAAGTATTTTTTTCATAGGCCTGTGTTCAAAGAAAAGGATCCCACAAGACATGCAAGTACAGAAACCAAACCTTTACTGAATGGTACACCATCACAAGAAAGCCTAGTTTGGTTTGGACCTCACAAGGTTCCTAGTTAGTTAGTTGACTGCATGAAGGGGCCATTGAAGATTTGAATCCAGTCCCACTGGGCTTTTTTGTGATGCCCAGTAAAGTTTAGATCTTGTGGTGTGATGCTGGATATTGTTTTTTTTTTTTTTTTTTTTTTTTACTCTGAGAAGGAGTGCATAGTCCAAAAACGAAGTGGATTATTTGAAGTGAAAAACAGGCAAGTATGAAAGTCCCCCTTTAAAGTGATATTAAATATATTTTTTTTTTCTTACAATAACCGACATATTAAACTTGCCTGCTCTGTGCAATGGTTTTGCACAGAGCAGCCCCGATTCTCCTCTTCTCGGATCCCCCGCTGGCGTTCTTGATCCCTCCCTCCCGCCAAGTGCCTCCATAGCAAGCAGCTTGTTATGGGAGAACCCAAGCAGACTCTCTCCCGAGCTGCTGCCCTGCATGTGCATTTACACACAGATTGCAGCTCGGCCCCGCTCCCGCTTTCCTCATTGGCTCACTGGCTGTAATTGACAGTAGCGAGAGCCAACGCAGGTAGAGCCGCTGATCTTGTATAGTGGGGGGGGGGGGGGGGGCTGCTGCACACACACTTTTTGTGCATGAAGCTAAAAATCCTTGAGCCTTTACAACCACTTTAAGGGCTTGTTCACACTAGAATGCAGTGTGGGAGAGCCACGGTCCCCTGTAGCTTCCAACACCGCATTCCAATCGCAATGCCCTTACGATCTACTGCAGGGGTCAGTTAAAAGTTAATGACACCCCAAACACAGACCACAAACACATTGCATGCGCCCGCACCAATGTGCATTTCAAAAAGAAGTAAATGCACTACTATTAGTGCAGTGCTATTTCAGCCCATTCAAATGAATGGGCTTGAAATCGCACCGCACAGAGCCCGCATATGAATCGCACAGGAACGTACAGCACATCCCTGAGTGATTCATCTCGGGGCAAGGTGTGAACTGGCCCTAAGAATTGCTTTTTCCATCATCTTTCATAACATTGCAAGTTTAGTGCATTTAAATGCGGAATTTAAATGGTACGCAATACAACTGTGTATGTGGATGTCTCTGTGCCTGATTAAAAAATAGAAATATTCCATCTGGTTTTATTGTAGAACAAGATTATTCAAAAAACACAAACCAGTGAATCTAGAAAGATATACCAAAGGATAAAGTACAGTATTTTCTGGCGTATAAGACTACTTTTTATACTTAAAAATATACCCCAAAAATTGGGGGTCGTCTTATACGCGGGGTATAAAATGTGAACCTTGAGTTTGTTTGGGTCAAGCTGGCTGGATGTGTGGTAATACTGTACATACAGTATACCGTGCTGAGCCAAGCTGGCTCAAAACAAATGTCCCTATGACAGATTAATCTGTCAGCCCGCTGGATGTGCGGTATATACAGTATACTGCGCTGAGCCAAGCGGTTTCAAAACGTACCGGTACGTCCCTACTGTAATCAGCCCGCTGGATGCGTGTATGTACGGTAGCTGCGGCTACATACAGTATACACTGGGCCAATCACGGCGAGTGATGTATTCTACTAATGAATACAAAGCCTGCTCGGATTGGCTGAGTCAGAGAGGTGGGCTGATGATGTCACAACCTCAGCCAATTCGAGCAGGCTTTGTATTCATTAGTAGAATACATCACTCGCCGTGATTGGCCCAGCGTATACTGTATGTAGCCGCAGCTACCGTACATACACGCATCCAGCGGGCTGATTACCGTGGGGACGTACCGGTACGTTTTGAAACCGCTTGGCTCAGTGCAGTATACTGTATATACCGCACATCCAGCGGGCTGACAGATTAATCTAGTCTTAGTCTTATACGGCGAGTATAGTCCAAAACCTATGTTTTAACTGGAAAATTAGGGGGTCGTTTTATATACCCAGTCGCCTTATACGCCGGAAAATACGGTATATGTACTTTCTCCTAGTTTACTCATGGTTCAATCTAAAAGGTTAATGCTTTTCCTGGATTCAGTAAATTGATGTTTATTCTATAGCTTTGTTCAAGCCTAATCCTGAACACCTGCTCAACATTCCAAAAGCAATTGTCACACCTACACATTGCTATCATGCATGTCTGTGTGTGTATAGATGTGGAAAAAAGAAATTAAAGCATCAGTTTTTAATCAGAATATAGCATCAAGTCAATTAAACTCCTGGGATATTGATCTGGCCAGTTAAATAGCAGAGGGGGTTGTTAATCAGATTCTGTGTGTGTCCTTTGCTAAAAGCTGGGGACTTTCACTTTTTCGGCTTAAGCTGGCCATAGATTGATAGAAATTCAGCTGGTTTAGCGGGAACTGGATGAATTCCGACACACCTATGGCTCTTTCCATTAGAGAGGCGTCAACCTAGTAATTGACTAATTTTTGATTGTGTAGTTTTTTTTTTTTTTTTTTTTTGGGGGGGGGGGGGTGGTTTAATCAGCCGGCTGGCTGACCCAAAACATTTTTTTATCCATGTATGGTCAGCTTTAGCAGTGGCAATGTCAAGTACATGTAAACCGAAACCTTAAAATCTCATGAGCTTGAAAGCTGATGTTATGCTAAAAATATTTTTTTCTCCCTACAGCTTTAGTGACCTAACTTACCTGTAATGAAATATGCTGCAAGCCATTCAGGCTACTGGATCCTGGCGAAATCTTCTTTGCAGTAATGCCCAGTCCTCTTCCTGTCTCTGTGGTGGTTATTAGTTTCAGGTCTCCGAGCTGAACTCAATAGAGGATGCTCCCATTGGAGACTGCCGTTTTTTCCTCCCCTCTCATCCATTCAGAAAAGTTCTTTAAATGATTGCTCTACATATAACAAGATCTATGAATGGAGTAGTGTCTGATAAGTCACAGGATTCTGCCCCACTTATTCACAGATCAAGTTTCTGGAAGTGTAATCAATAAATAGGCTTTTCTCAGTTGAGTGGGAAGGAAGGTGTAGGTCCCTGCCTCATGTCCATGCTAGGCTTTCCTACTAGGAAGCACAGTATGAATTGTGGGCTATCATAAATGCCACCAAGTAAGAGTTGTATATTTGTAAAGTAAAAATTATACAAATGAAACAAAACAAAGACTTAGAACTGTTGGACATTCCCATTAAAAGGGCGCCCCCACCACTACTTGTCAGTGACTCGAAGTATTGAAGCATGAGTCTTCCAGACAGCTAGCATTCTCACAAGGATGTCAGTGATGGAAGCTTTCATATTTTTTTTCAGAACTGGTTTTCTGTAACGTAATTACATTTATCTGTCAGTGTTGATGTTTTCAATCATGTTTAGCCGTTATCCACGCAAGCAGGTAAATATATCGCATTGCTGAGACAGGAGTTTTTCTGGGGAAAGCCTGGAAAGCACCTTCAGACTCATAGGTGTGAAAGTATGCAGTTTGCTGAACTCCTTGGCACACTCTTCTGAGGTCTTCAGGCTATGCATTCCTTCCAACTGGCCCTAGCTCTACCACTCTATTGTTTTACATTGTTTCCTCTGGTGGCACCCTCTGATGGAAGAGTGAACCAGACGCATGGCCATGGGGGCCAGTGGGTGCTATATGCTCTTTTGCATCTAGCACCTGTAGAGACCCGGTCTTGGAGAAGCCTGGTATTGTCTATGGGTAGCCCAGAGCCCGTCTTCATTTTATATCTAGAACATCTGCTAATGGGAATTAAGTACTGCTTAAGTATATGTTTAATATCATGCATTGACTGTCCCTGTGTTCATTTTCCTTAAGGGTTGAATCCAAGATTTGGTCACCCCTTGTATCTGAAGAAGGCAAAGTACACCCATATAAAATGAACCTGGCATCGAATCCTCAGGTAATTGCTATTTCATTCTCATATAGTATCTTTTGATTAGAGGATAATGGATACTTTTTGTTATAGGGGTTCTCAGCAGCACAATAACCTATGATGTGTTCAACCACAGAATTAAATTTGCCAGAAATGTGTTCTTGATTTAGGTTTTGTGATTTGTAGGTTGATGTTTGATAGCTACAGGTTATGCTGTATTAGGTCTTTACTGTCCCTGTAAGTAACTATATAATCCTAAAGATCAAACTAGAAACTACAGTTTGAGAAAAAGCATAATTACAGTACATCATTGTGATCTGTATAATTCACCCCTTCTCTTGGAGAATAAAATGCCATGGCATGAATCTTGACAATGAGGTGCATGCGGCCATTCATAGCCCATCACAGGTTTGTATTGCATGCTGGGTGTCCCTTTTGTTGGTTTTCAGAAGCAGCATGAGCATGCGCTTTGCAGCTGAATAGGTATTCACAGATTAGGAATGAGGTCAGACAGGTCTATTGCTAACTTTTCTCAGGGAATTAATTTGATTTGCTTTAACTAGTGTAACAGAGATTAACCAATAATTTGAGCCAAATCAATGTTTATAGACATCGGTTAAAGTGTTCCTAAACCCAGGTCCCTGCATTTATTATATATGGTCTCACACAGAACATGGAAGTGCAATTATTTTAGTAAATATAAACTGCTAAATACCTTTCCTCATCAGCAGTTAGAGTAGTCTTGTGACTTCTATCAGTGTCCAGCCGGGCACTGGTTATAGCTTGTAGGAGGAGTTTTCATTCTGCTCTAGGAGGATGCAGGACTCCTGACCTCTGTCCGGACAGTGCTAATTGACCCTGTGCTGATCACATGCACTCTCCCCAAGAAAAAAAAAACCTCTCTAGCAATACACACCAAACTGAGCATGTGCAGAGTGTCTCCACACATAGGTCTTATCAAGAGATAAAAGGGGGACACTGGAAGAAGGGGAGGATCAGAGAAGTCAGGATCAAACAACGTTTTTACACAATGCAGAGGATTAACCCCTTAGGTTCCACAGTGAGTATAACAAGCATGCTTTACTGCATATACAGACTGATTTTACTGTTGTGGGTTTAGTAACTGTTTAAACTGCATAGCGTAGTCCTAATTAAACAGCTACAGTCTGGATTTTTGTGTAGATCCAAGATCAGAGCTGAAGAAGATCTTTCTAAATAAAATTTAACAATAATGTATCTGTTTCTGAAGTTTGGAGGGCTTACCTTCCTATCTAGAAGTGCAAAACTCAGTCTCTGCACACCCTTATTGAGATCTTTAGACATCCTGCCTAGGGCCTAGGCCATTTCTGTAAGATTGTTAGTTGCATGGGGACACCACAAACTGTTAAACAAAAAAAACAAAAAAAAAAAAACTCATTACCTGAGTGCAAGAAGAGAAAGCCCAGACACTAGTGCTTGAGAATCCTGGGCCAGACTGAACAAAATTTACTGCCTTGATGCTCTTCTTGCCACTGGAATCTGACACATTCGCCAAACGTAAGACTGCCTCTAGTCCAGAGAATGACGGTCCACATTTTGACCCTGTCTTCTCCTCATATGAAACTGCAGGCAGCCATCATTATGGTCAGACCATGCACTGGTGCCAGGCTGTAATGGGAAGCAGGACTGCAGAGCTCAGCCAATGGCGGCATACCAATTTTATTATGGAAGAGTTCACTTATCCTTAAAACTGTGTTAAACCCCAAAACAAAAATGTAATAATTTTCAGCTCACCAGTTCTCGGATGTGGTGGCTCCATTACTCTTCTTTTTTTTTTTTTTTTTTTAATTTTGTATCTGGTGATCTGGACTTGTGTCTTTCTTTAATAGACTGAGCTTTCCAGCGAAGGTGGCAGTCATGGTACCCACACATCCTTCTATTTTTTTTTTTTTACCCATCAGTGTGCGAATGATCAAATTCGCAACCAATTGAAAAGCCATACCTTACCTTCTGATTGGTTTAGACTCTGTTTCAGATGGATTCGATCTCTGTAGATTGACCAGGGCAGAATATTACTGATTATTCGGCATTAATGAGCAGCTCTGAGATATGAATACATTTAAGTACTCGTATATGTAAGGCCAGATATGTAATTTTTTTTCTTTATAAAAACACCCTTATGTATTGTCGTCATCTTGATTTAAAGCGGAGTTCCACCCAAAAGGGGAAGTTCGGCTTCAAGTCTTTGTCCCCCGCTCCCCATTAAGGATTAACACCTTTGGGGAGCGGGTACCGACATTGGACAGGTACCCACTCCCACTTTCACTGTGATCGCCTAAGGCGATCGGAAACAGTTGTCCTCCCCCCTCCCTTCTGGGACCTGTCACGTGTTCCAGAAAACTATGGGGCCATTCACAAAGTACAGTGCTTCTCGTGCATGCGCAGTGGGCACCCGGCAGTGAAGCTGCAAGCAGTCAGTCGGGTTCCCACACTGAAGATGCCGGTGCCAGGGAGAGAAGACGGCTGGTGAAACCAGCAGTGGTGAGGACACAGCTGGACCGAGAGACAGGTAAGTGGCTGTATTTTAAAAGTCAGCAGCTACAGTTTTTGTAGCTGCTGACTTTTATTTTATTTTTTTTTTAGCTGGAACTCCGCTTTTAACGTGAGTATAACAGCATTTCTATAGAACAATGTGAGCTGTTGTACGACAGCACTAATTTGTAGCTATTTCATCAGTATAGCTATATTTGTCTGACACATGGGAGAAAATAGATTATTTCCCTTTTCTGACTTAATCCAATTTTTCAGGGAAAACATATCAGCAGATTGATTCCAAGTCTGAACATTCTTTATTCATTTTGGGCCATTTTAGAATGGATTTTTTTTTTTTTTTTTTTTTTTAAACTAATGAAGCTTTCTAAAAAAAAAAAAAAAAAGTATTTGTGCTGTGCTGCTAAACAATTGTTCTGTTTAGCATTTAGACAAAAAAAATATTAATTTTCAGCATAGAACTTCACTCCCCTCTGCTACACCTTTCCTCCTTTGCAAGGTAATCTACAAAAAACATACCTCCATGCCCAGTGATCCTGCTGTGTTCTGTAGGAACCCGCTGCTGCACACTGTGTTCTGTGACATCATCAGGGGGTCTGTGCCTCTTTTTGGGTTCTTGTAGCCAGCCCTTGATGACATGCGTGCACCGTATCCCGTCATCAGGGGCCGGCTGCAAGCACCTTGAGGAGACAGCTGGCTCCCTGATGATGCACCACAGTGCATGCACAGCTTGCAGCCTCCTGGAATGTATGACCTGGGTATTCCAGGAGCCTAGGGGGCATGTGGGATGTCATTCTCATCTAGGCAAGAACATAGCTTTTTCAGGCTATCCTCCCTGCACTTGCTAATTGGGGAATAAAAAGAACAGTTTGTGATCTGAGAGGGGCTAGGGATGAGTGGCTGGGGAGGGTGAAGGAACGCTTTACGTTTTCTAACAATTGCCTACAGCACCTCCAGACTCAGAGAAGTCCACAAATAAATACTATGAAAAGTACTGTAGAGCATTTTATAATTATCCCATGGAAAAATGTCATAAAATGAAGGAGCGGGGAGATGGTGGTTGTGATTTGGCTGCAGGGACTAGGTCAGTCCTGTTAGTGTGTGCAATATTTTGAGTGTGTTGATCTGCTTCCGTAGAGACGTGATGTAATCACAAGGGTGTGTCATTCAGCACAAGGTGTGATAAGAATGAAATAACAGGACTATTGTTTCATATGTTGGAGCCAATGTAACCTCATTGCTGTGGAATGTCAGAGGGTTCAGTGCCCTGTGGGGACATTTGCTCAACCTCTCCATTGCTGGGGCTGTGCTAACACTCAGTGTCATTTTTGTTAATATATTTTTGGGGATATTAGACGTTTATCTTCCAAGAACATCAAGATGTTTTTTATGTAACAATGCAAATAAAATAACTGGCTGTACACCTGTAAGGCAAAGGCATTCACTATCATAAAAAAGTACCATTGTGCACTATGCCATTGCAACCCCACAAGGTGAATATTCAAAGACGCAGCGTCGCTCACTGTCCTTAAAGAGACCCTGTCACCAACTTAAAAAATTGCCAGTAAATGCAGAAAAATTGAGTATTTAAAATGCTTACCTGCAGCAATTTTCCTTGCAGTGAATGATTTTCTAGTCACTTGCCATGTGCCTGTGAACTTGCTAGAAAACATGACTATTCCAGGAGACTCCATTGCCTAGCGCAGCCCCCTCTTTCCTTACATGTTATAGTCCTCTCCTCTTCTGGGAGTGTCTAATTACGGTCTGTGCTGGCCAAGCTCCCCCATCACCCCTCCATACACACACACACACACACACACACACACCCGACATAACCTTTTATCTAGGTGCCAGGGAGGCAGGAAGGGGAATACTATACAGAATCACTTGAATGACAGCTCTGTGTCTGGGGCTGTGGACATCACTTCCAAGGTGGCAATGCTATTAGATATCTACACAAGGGGAGGTCATTACAGGTAGATAACATGCATTAAATATGTTCAATGCACATACCTATACAATCTTATGATCTTATGTTGAAGTGAATTTTATAGGGACAGGGCCTTTTTAAAGTGGTTCTAAAGCATTAAGGTGTTTTTTTTTTTTTTTTTACCTTTTTTAATGCATTTTCTGCATTAAGGTAAAAAAAAACCTTCTATGCCCAGGATACCCCCCCCCCCAGACTCCTGTTATACGTACTGGGGCCTGATCTAAAACCAACATGAGAGCAGCAGCTCTTCCCCTCCTCAGAGGGTAGATTGATAGCAGCAGGGGCTATTGGCTCCTGCTGCTGTCAATCAAATCCTATGACGAGGGAGAGGATGGTGGGGCAAAGACCCACTATCTGTGTCAATGGATGCAGGCAGCAGGGCTTGGCAATGAGCCTGCTGGAGTACCCCCCCCCTTAGGAGGGGTTTGCTAGGGGTAGGGGGGTTCTCAGAATGGGAAATGAGTCAGGTGTGCAAGCGGGGGACCCCAGAAGAGGAGGATTGGGGCTGCCCTGTGCAAAACCACTGCATAGAGCATGTAAGTATAACATGTTTGTGATTTAAAAAAAAAAAAAAAAACCCCAGCAAAGATTTAATTTAAACAAGGTGGCTACAAGACCGATTTATTATGTTTTTTGGGATCATCTAATCTGCTTAAAAACTGACCCCATAGCTTCAGAAACAGAGGCTACACTTTAAACAAGTTCTAGATATACAACTAAACAGGTCGGTCACCATATAAATGTGTTTTGTTTGGACTGGGATCATTCTTGATCTATTAGTTATTTAGACAATGTGTGGGCATTTAACATGACATTTTATTAGATTCTGTCTAATATACAGACATCTGGTATTGTCAGACCTAAAAAAAAAATTTGTCCATTAAATCAGATCAAGGATCAAAGCTGTTTCAGATCTCATTTGCTAATTGTATATTACATTTGACTGAATAAAATGGAATACATGAAATAATATAGTATTTGTTAAAGCCAAAAAAAAAGAAAGTAGAATAGAAATAGAATGAAATGTCAGGTCTGTCATGCGTATACTGTATGTACATAACATGATGGAATGCATCAAATTCATCTTGTGTGATTAAAACATCATTAAAATAGAATCAATTATTAAGAATAAATCATCTGGGAAAAAAACTATTTGGACCAGCAAATAATGACAGCTGAATATGTATACCAATGATTAGCACATCATAAAAAAAAAAAAAAAAAATCTTCTTTTTAAATTTGTTCCTTCAAATCTTGATGCTCATTGTTAAGAAAGGTCCCCATTGTAAAGAGAGTCCCCATCTTTCTTACTTTTACCCTGAATTAGTGATGCGACATTACATGTTTAGGAATTGTTTCATAAATCCAGTCCTTTATTTGTAGTGTTGATAGAGCGTGGAAGAATCTGAACTTCTGTTTTTATGCTACCTCTCAACGCATTGGGGAGATTATAACCGTTCCTCAATCTGTATTTGTGTTCCCATTGTGGAGCTTTAAAGAGATAGATGGGGCAGATCCAGGGGCGGACTGACAACTCATGGGGCCCCCGGGCAATAGGGGATCATGGGGCCCCTGTGTCCTTGCCCAAACTCAAAAAAGCCAATGAAAAAGGTACCAGGGGCATCTCATGGGGCCCCCTACTGACCCCGGGCCCTCGGGCTGTACCCGAGTTTCCAAATGGTCAGTCCGCCCCTGGGCAGATCTCCGCAGTAGGGACACAGACCCCAATAAGAACCTAAAGGGGCTCTATCTAGAACAAAATGTGTTTTTGCCCAGATTTGCGCTTTGATGAGATGCTCTGTGCTGCATTTTGTTCACATTTTCAATTACTTGCTGTCACCAAAAGTCCAAGTTGGATTATATTAATGTGTGTTGCATGAGTTTTGGCTGTGTTGTCACTTCACGCATGCATGTTGGTCACCTCTGATTCTTCTTCTGCTCCCATTGCACGCAGGAAGTAAAACAGATAGGAAGCACACACAATCGAAGTGCTATGCCATTCACTGCTGGCTCCGCTTCCAGCACCCCCAAAGTGATCACTGCCCAGTACAACAACCCAGCTGGCCTCTATTCCTCTGAAAACATCCAAAGCTTCAATAACACATTGGAGTCCAAATCAAACAATGGTGCCCACGTTACCCAAGTGTCAAACCAAGAGTAAGTATAAATTATCTGGCATGTAATGTTTGAGTATTTTATTGTGTGGTTACAATGTAGGATGCTTGTTGCTCTGTAAACATGTATTGACTGCATCTGCCTATTATGTGAGCCCTATCCACTCCAGTTGGGCACCCAGTAATGTATATCTATCTATTTTATCTTCATGTTGACCAAACAAAGACCAAGGAGTCTGTCTAGAAAACATTTGTTGTATCAATGTGAGAAACATTCGTACAAACTAAATGAAATGTCACTGTATGCTGTCTAAGAGATTAATTCCTGTATCGTCGACTCCATCTAGTGGCTGAAATGGGGTATAGTTTTGTCATTGAGGTTTTTTCAGAAAACTATACATTTTGATCACTAGATGGAGCTGATGATACAGGAATTATTCTCTTAGAAAACATACAGTGACCTTTCATTTGCACAAATTCTTCTGACATTTCTGCAACAAATATTTTAAAAATATACCTCAATTGTCTTGACATGGTCACAGTATGCTTATTTTTTAGGACCATGTCATGAGCAGTTCACAATAAAACTAAATTGGCACATTCCACAGGATAGTCCATAGGATGTGTGCACTTTATCACAGTTCAGAAGGAACATGTCAGGATAATATGGCAGCTGCCATTGATTTCAAAGGGTATCAAAATCCAAAATAAAAAAGTAATCTATTGCAGATTGCCAGTCCTTGGATTTAGTGGCTGCATTCTTCTTCTTTTTTTTTTGATTGTTTTCACTTGGTAATTTTGCAAATTACACAATTCCTGCCACATCATGTCTACTGTAAATTCTCCTCTGTATTTATGGACGGGCAGTGGTTGTAATACAAATGTGTCTGCCTTTGTTCATTACATGGTGGATTGATGGGAGTAGTAGTACACAAGGAAGAGAAGGATGTTTATTCTTTCTTTTCACTTTACAGGACTCAACATTTCTGGTAAAACCAACAAGTTCTTCCATTATTATTTATTTTTTTGCCTGAAAAAAAAAAACGAATGCAGCCACCACATCTAAGTACTGGAAAGCCACGATATTAAATGTTTGCTTTGGGGTTCCAAACCAGGATACTGTGCTTTGGGGTTCCAAACCAGGATACTGTCATTCCTATTGTTCAGCTAGAACTTAGGCTCCCCATACACATCGCATACAATTACGTTTAGATATACCAAAACTGTGTAATATGGGGACCTACCGAACTCTCCAATCCATTAATATTCTATCAGGCAGGCCCTTGCACTGCTTACTACTTGGTAGATCTAAAGGAGGTTGTACAATCAGATTGTAATGTGTGTGTTTGAGCTTTAGTCACTATCTGTGAATGAAGCTTTGATCCAGATGATGGAGTCAGAGCTTTCATCCTCATAACAGTTGTGTTAACTCCTGTGTTTCTATCCCCGTGTTTCAAATTGCTTTAATTTTCAAGGGTGATGCTATTGTATTCTAGCGACTACATAGACCGAGGTTTTTGTTTTTTATTTGTTTTTATTTTAAGCTGAACAATCCCTTTGCATTAGCTGGAAGTTCAGGTACCTTCCAACGTGAAAAAAGCAGTGTGTGCAAGTGTGGTTACCCGAGTGATCCGTATAACATGTTATTGGTTCTTGTTCTGACCATATGTTTTCTCTCCATCCACATGCCTTCTGCAGATCGACTGATGGAAAAACTAACAGTATGTTTTTTCATTTACCAGAGACCTGTCAAATTTCAACGTGCTTTCAGCTTGACTTACCAACCACTAAAATCACCGTCAGGCTCCATCAGGTGCTTTCTCATTAATACAGTCTGCTCTAGCTCATAGTGCCAGCAGCAGAGAGCCTTATGCTCCACATAGCTATTATTCATCTGATGCTACAAGATTCTAATCTATACCATAACATAGCTACTGTATAGAAGTAATCCATATTATTAATACATTATTATATTGCTCTAACGTGGCACAGATGTAAAACTACTATATAGTTTTATGAGCCTTAATCTGCTATTAAAATATGATTGTTAAAAGAAAAACAAAAAGGCTAAAATGCTAATTTTGGCATTTTTCTTTTATACTTAATGTTGCAAAGCTCTCAATTAAGTTTTAGGAATGCAATTGCCAAATGCAGCTGCAACTTTTATTAATATTAATTTTACCTTTTTTTTTTTTTTTTTTTTTTTTTTTTTTTTTGTTTCTGATCCTGTATTATGTCTTGGACCTTTAACTGGGCTTTAGTCCTGTCTCTCCCTCTGTGATGTTTAAGGCTGCCATGGCTTCTGTATATAACCCTCTTCAGTCTTGTACTGCCCCTGGCTCCTTGCAAAGGCGGCACAGCACCTCTTCAATCCCAACGCAAGTGCGAGTGGGCCCTGAAGAGTTAAAACAAGCTGCACAGATCTGTCCCAACAGCCCCGTGGAGGTGGATATTCCTGGACTTAAAGTCATGCACAACCAGTTTAACTCCCCATTACAGCTCTATTCCCAAGAAAACATTCTGGACACTTTGCAGGGCCAGATCTCTTCCATTAACCCAACTTATTCCAGGTAACCTTGCCTGTGTGTACACATCCCTGGCACAGTGCATGCTTACTGGAGTGTAACTGCTTGCTGCTCACCTGGCATCGCACCTTCGTGTATTTGTGCTTGTGTTCTCATTGCACCCACCATGCACAAGTAATGCTTCTTATATACTGGAATTCACTGTAGCTACATAATGCATGTCACATTAATACTGTTAGTATTTATCAGCGTGTGAATTATGTATTATGGCTGTTAGAGAGTACTGTGTATTTTTAAGATTTGTAAAATGATTACATGGCATGTACTGTATACTTGACCTTTTTCATTTGTCATGTTGCGATAATTTATCTTTTACCTATTATGTTGGCCAGAAAAGAAGTTACAAAATATTCTTCAAAATTATGTTTCTTAAAGCTACACTCTGGGGAATAAATATACTTTATCCATGACAATATAAAAGGGGGGTAAGTGAGCGCTAAAAGTCAATAAGCTGCTAAACACCAAAGGTACCAAAAACCTCCAAAATAGACAATAAAACAGCAGGGTGCAGCGCTCAAATGAAAATATAAGACACTAATAAAAATAATCGTGGTAAGATAAATATAAAACCATATATCAAGTCTTGATAACAACTTATGGATATGACGTTTTTAAGCATCATTATATCAATAATAATGGTGACAGTCCCAGAATAAGTGATAAAGTGACACGCTGCGCATTTAGAGATATCAATCTCAAAGAACCAGGGTGTCCCCTTTTAAAGGTCTGGTCAGGTCTGGTATCCCTCTTAAGCCGACATATACTGCCCATGGATTGCTCGCCACCTCTGTGGATGGTGAGAGCTCCGGAAAGAGGAGGCTAATAGCGTGATACCGTTTGAACAGAGGCTCCTTTATTAACCAGGTCGATAAACAAAAACCCTGACCAGTAATTGTGATCCAAGATGGCTGCCGGGACCAGTGTAGTGCCGGCAGTGTGGCGTCCTAGTGCTGTAGCCCCTCACTGACACGTTTCATGCGATTGCACGTACTCATAGGGGGTCTGCATACAGCCAAAGGACGCTATAATTGATAGAAAAAACGGCGCCTGCGCATTACATGGCTGCCATTTTCTAACAGATTGTTGTACGCATGCTGGGCGCCATTTTGGCGTAGCCGGCGTATATGGCACATGCGCGGGCGCTGTGTACCAGAAGGAATGTGTGTAAAGAAAGCTGCGCCTGCGCATTACGCGGCCGCCACTTTTTAGTAGTTCAATTGTCCATACCTCGGCGCCATTTAGGCGTAGCCGGCGTCCCGGCACACGCGCGTGCACCGTGCATTAGAAGGGGTAAATGGTTTAGCAATAAAAACTAGATCACCAGGGAAAATCATTTGCACATAAATGTTCAACTAAAACAGTATTTAGGCATATTGATATGCTATAATAGGGAATGAATTGCCATAATGGATTACCATAACAGATTATAAATCTGAAAACATACAATTCAATGCGCACAGATATAGTGGCAGGAACTATAAGTGGATGTGTTTCAAATATAACGTATAGAATAGATAAGAATATAGAATAAAATAGATATAAAATGTAAATAAAATTCGCAATGACCAAAATAAAACTAATATCAAATATGGAGGCAATAAAACACAAGAAATGCATAAAAAAGCAAAAGGGAAGCGTTAAGGCCAATAAGCTGATATTAAGATATGGATGTAAAATAAGGCTGTAAAAGCACTAAAATCAATGAGAATGGATGACTAGCTGTTGTCAATAAAACAATTAATGTCCATGTCCACATTGAGACCTTTAGGGTACATAAATCCATCTTGACTCCATTTGGGATGCTGCTCCTTTTTTTATTTGTACCTCTCCAATGGGTCTGTATTATGTCTATCCCCGAGGAATAGGACGAGGGATCTCTGTTGTGATGTAAACGATAGTGTTTTGAGAGTGAGTGTTCCTTAAAACCACTCTTCACGTTATAAACGTGTTCTCGTAACCGATCCCGTAACCTTCTTGTCGTATGGCCTATGTATTGTTTATTGCAAGGGCACTGCAAGAGATGCACTACATATCTACTAGTGCAAGATATAAAGCTGTCAATGTTATAAACTTTCCCCATGGTTGAGGAGTTAAATTTATCAACCTTCCTCTTCCTTTGATTATTGCACATACAGATAACACATTTATTGCATGGATATAATCCTTTCATGCTATTAAAGAAAGCCATCTGTGTGGGAGGATCAACTATATTTGGGGCTATTTTGTTCCTCAGAGGACCAGCCCTTCTGAATGTGACCTCTGGTTTGGTTGGTAGGATTTTAGCCAAAACAGGGTCCGCCATAAGGATCTTCCAGTTATTAATTTCGTGATTGTCTTGTATTGTGGAAAAAGTAGTCACGAATGGACAAATTCTTGATTGCTTAGCTTTGGGATTACTAGCCAACAATGTGTTCCTATCCATATCAGCCACTGTTTGCGTTGTTTGTGTGAGGGCAGATTCCTCATAACCTTTTTCGATAAATCTGCCCTTCAAAATGGTAGCTTGTGAAAAGTACATGTCAAGATTGGTAAAATTCCTTGGAATTCTTAGGAATTGACCTTTTGGTATGTTTGAAAGCCAACGGGGATGGTGGCAACTATTAACAGGAATGTAGCTGTTGTGATCTGTTTCTTTAAAATAAGAGGATGTGACTATGGCTCCTTCTGAGTTATGTAATGTCAAATCCAAAAAATTTACACGAATAGTACTGTATTCATACGTGAGTTTGATGTTGAGGGTATTATTATTCAATGTGCCAAAAAAATTGATCAATGCCTGCTCCTGTCCTTTCCAAATGAGCAGGATATCATCAATGTATCGTCTGTAAAAAAAAAAAAATAATAATAATTCCGGCCAGTCCCTTGCATAAATTAAATCCTCCTCCCACCTGGCCATAAACAAATTGGCCAGGCTGGGAGCAAATTACGCTCCCATCGCAACTCCTTTCGTCTGTAGATAAAACTTCCCATCAAGCCAAAAGTAATTTTTGGTCATTGCGAAATCTAGAAGGGTTCAAATAAATGTTTTTGGTAAATTTACTTTATCCTTGCATTGGGTTCCCTTTCTACTCTGCAAGAGTTAACTACTTGTTTTCCCTAGAGCTCTGGTGTCCAAGCTGCAGCCCAAGGACCGCATGTGGCCCTTTGGTGTATGATGTGCATCCCTCGGACCCCAGAAATCTGTATTGGGAACATTAATTAGGGTAATAGCATTGATCTCTACTAGCCTCATGTAACATGTTCCCAGTTTCATATCAACTTCTGTAGTATATCCTCAGTCAAAAATGTAGCATGGCTGCAGTCTATTACCCTCATTTGCTCTATTAGGTCTGCAGTTTCTGACAGTCTTCTCAAAGCATTACATATATTGAACATTATGTGCAGCCCTTTGGTGAAGTCAGGGTCTGCATTTGAGGCCTCCTTTTGCTCAAAAGTTGACAATGGCTGCCCGAGAGCAATTTTTATCAACCTTCTTGTTTCAGTCAAGGCACCGTTTTAAAATTACGCACAGTTCTGAGGCACCCTTTAAAATTATGGACAGTCTTGAGTTGCCCCATTCTAAAATGTGAAAAACTATTCTAATAGATTTATATAATACAGCAACATCCACACATGTAGGACACCCAACTTTAGAGGTGATTTGTTCTTCCAAAGCAAATATACTTTTGCACACTGGTGCTGACTAGTATTCCAGTGTTTCTCTTCTCCCTCAGTTTTTTCTCCATCACTGAGATAATGTGACTCCAGCACTGATGGAGAGGGGCAGGGGAGGGTCAATCTAGGATGCTCTGCAGGCAACTGACCTCCTCTTTATCAACTGATGTCATTGGTTGTCGGGATGCTGGTGACTAGAAGGTAGTAATGGTGCACAATGAAAACCTGTGGTTTTGTGTAACTAAAAGGCAGACTTGTTCCACCTGCTGGCTTTTTATACAAGTTTTGGGCAATTTTTAGACATTTTGCCAAAGCACCCCTGAGCAAACAAGGCACCCTGGTTGAGAATGGCTGCCCTAGAGGATGATGAACTGGGTAATGTACATACATTATATTTTACTTTCTTGGCAGCCTTTACACTTTTCTGCTTCCCAGTGTCTTGGGGTTGTGGGCGGGCCCTCTGCGTTCTCACGTACAATACAGAACTTCTGGTCCTACATTTGTACAAGATTACATCAAAGAACTATGACTGATTGGGCTGTGAGGAGGATCAGCTTCAGGGGACTGGACTTACAGTATTGACAAACCCTGCAGGAGCAAAGAACAGAGTTAATTTATCACCTATATGCGGAGGGGAACCCACTGTTTTTTTTTTCTGAGTTCAGCTTTACATTGCATTTGCAATCATAACTTTTACAGTAGAATAGGAATAGGTTCTATCCCCTGTCAAGTCTTTATTGTGCTCTGTAACTTCTGTGGGAGGATTCACTTTCTTTTCATCTTGGTGGTCATTACCGGAACAAAAGGTAACGGGAAATCTAAAATATTACAGTTCTTACTGGAATATTTCTCATCACATTCTGCTTGGTATCATTTGTTCTGGAGACCGCTGCCTAAGAGGGAATTTCCATTTCTTTTCTGTTGTGTTTTCAGGACGAGAAATGTTGAGAAACATCCCATTTTCCTTGATGTATAAACAGGTTACAAAGTTATTCAAGGTTCCAGAAGGAGATATCCAGATTTTGCTTGTTTAGTATTCCATCACCAACTGTGAACAGACAATTTTATTGAATAGATATACTAAAAGGGCAGTCCATCTAAATCTCCTATTCTTGCTCTTTCCTATGGATTTCAGTGGTGAAGGCAACTGTTGTGGAGTCGTAGGGTATCCATTTACCTATTTTCTAGGATTTGGAGGACATCAATGGAATAAACACGTCTGTTCCAGCTATTGGTTATACATCCTTGATTGCTTCCTGCTTGTGATAACTCTAAAGAGAGCCTTTCTTCTAAAGGTTGCGGCTTCAAGGCTCTCATCCCTATCCTGGCTTCACTGCCTAGTCAATCGGTGACTCAGAAAAAACCTGCAGCCAGTGAAATCTGTAAAGTTTAAACTCTCATCCTTTATGCCAGTTCTGGATCAGTAACTTACTAAGGCATGAACCAAAATGATGATGACCTCTTGGAGCCTGTGCTTTTAAAAGAAAGAAAGAATGGCCTTCCTTGTTCTCCTTAAACATTCTATATATTCATGTATTCTTTCAATATGCCCACTTCTCATATCCTGTTGGATCACTGATCTTTGGTAGTCGGGCTATTGCCATTTATATTTTAATACCATATGCTGTTAGAACCGAATACAATAAAATTAAAACGCATGACATAATTTCATTGCTTTATATTTTATAGGATTTGCTTTTCTTCATTGCATAGGTTGAATAATGAATATAAAGTCACATTTCCTTTGTCCGTCAGTTTATCCGATTTGAATTATTCTCAGAGGAATTGTACATAACAAGACAAAGCTATTGGCATTTAGCCAGTAACACAGTTTAAATAGAAATGTTTCTCTGTAAGGGCAAGCAATCATTGACAATCTACAATTCAGTGTTCAGAAGCAATGAATGTGAGTGGGTGCTATAAGTTACTGCACACTGCTGCTTTTAAACATTCTTTTTTTTTTTTGTATTAAAACAGAACTGTAGCCACATTACCAAAAGTAAATATGGGGGGGGGGGGGGGGTTTCCTTCCTCTGGATCAACTGTGGGTATAGGATTCTAACTTTTTTTTTTTTTTTTTTTTTTTTTTGTGGTTGGCTGAAAAAAGACAAAAGTCCATCCAGTTCAGACTAACTATGTAAATCAACTTTTTAATTTTAATATCTAATATAAGAAAAAAATCTGGGTAACCGAGTATATTCAGTATATTGCCAAAAGTTCAACTTAAAAGTGAACTTATTCTGTACCCATTCAGGGCAAAACAACAAGTTCCCAGAGTGATCAATGCCTTTCAGTTTGTTTTTATTCTAAAGCAGCCACAGGTTGAGTAGAAAAGCCTGTGTCCTGCCAGCAGCCGCATAGTTGGACCCTTCCTCTCTGTGTGATTTCAGTGGTTTTATTGAAGAGTTTAACATGCCCCCTGCTGATTTAAACCTATAGCTCTTCAATCAGCAAAGCTCAGGCTCCCTGGCTTCAGCTGCTGGCAGGGGACAGGCTTTTCTACTCAAGCTATGACTGCTTTAGAATGAGAACAAATTGCAAGACATTGAACACCTTTTTGTTTTGATGCCCCTAGAGTGAATTTAGCGTTTCTAAACTTGAAGTTTCCATTGAGTTTTAAAGTATACCCGTTGCTTTGCCTGGTTTGCAAATCACTGGTTCCCATTCAGCAGTACTGGTTTCATAAACTGTTTAGAAATGTATCTCCTTTGTTCTGTTGGTAAGTATATTTTAGGAATAGGGTCACAAAATGTATTCATGCTCTACTCCTGTCCTGTACTGCTGTCCAGTGGTATGAAATATGTTTTCCTATTATTTCATTTAGTGTAGACCGACCTCAACCTCCTCAAGCGCGGCACATTGACACAGACTCCGAGGTATACAAGATGCTGCAGGAGAACCAGGAATCAAATGAACCTCCAAGACAGTCGGTCTCCTTCCTAGTACTGCAGGACATATTGGAGAGTGATGAGAAAGGCAAGTGCTGAACCTTCATTATAGAACACCTTGGAAAGAGAGTGAAAATTGTTCCCTGATATTAGACATGATCTGTCAGATTATAGTCCCATTTCTATGTAACCTAAAAGTACAATACCCTGATATCCATTCTAGATATATGGCTCTGGCTTAATTCTCTACCAAATTCCCCCAAAGATCTATGAATTTGGAGCAGGGACTTTTTTGTAAAACTTGGTTCCCAGCTCCTAACCCTAGCAAGGCTGTTACACATGGCTATTTTTCCCCTCCCTGCAACAAAAGGAGCAAGACATTGTGGCATGAGAGACACAGCTGAGATTTTTAGTAATTTAAATCGTCAGCATCTAGCCATACAAAATATCATTGTTAGTATTCAACATTTAATGAATACTCGAGGTTGCAAATATGCCTTACAAAAGCACAAATAACTTCTGGGTAAAGTCCATTCCTGCATTGCATGAGCATGCAGAGTGTAGTTCTACTCAACATATGACTAGTAGACATGGCATTTAGCAGAGTTGCTGATTTAAATTTTAATCAGAAATTCCATTTACGTATGTGTCGATTAGATGATGCAGCCCCAGGACGCGACACAGGATGTTGTTTGGAGCCATCAAAAGGCATATGATATTTAAAACCCTGTGGTTGAGGCATTCATTAACATGCCTTCAATGTGAAAATGGCATTTACCCTGAAATTTGTTTTTTTTTTTTCAAGAGATACGTCCTACAGGGATCATTGTTTGAAGTCTACTTTTGTTTAGTATGATAGAGAGGTCAAAGTTCTTCTTAATTAAATGGTATACTGTCATTAATGATGCTGAAAACAGCAAAACAACAAATCTTAGAAAAAACCCTTATGCGGGAAGTTTTCAAGAATTCTGAATAACAAATCTTTATATGTATGGTATAGGTAAAAAAAAAAAAAAAAGGCCAAAGTGGTCTAAAAGTCACTACTTTTTGCTAAATCAGATTTTAAAAATATATTATAACTCACATATATTTGATTTATTTTTTTTTATTCCCTCCACAGAGTTTTTTTTTTTTTTTTTCAGTTGTCACCTGGTCGCTATATTCACATCCCTCTCGGTCTGGCTGTGTGTGCAGCACTCTGAATGGTTGCACATAAAAATTGCAGTACAGTGCAAGAGTACGCATGTTGCGAAGACTCATGCAAGACTCCACTGATCCTGGTAGCACAGAGACCAGGAATATAGAGGCACACCCAGGGGAGAATTGAAAAAGAAAGCTCTGAGGAGGAAATGTTAAAAATTCAAATGCATGTGACCTTTATTTTTTTTCTGATTTAGGAACAAAAATAGTTTAATACCACTTGAATTGCTCTGTGATAAATAACAGACTTAATATTATTTAGTGTATAATGGTCTATTTGTAGATTTCTATCATGTAATTGGGTGCATGGCACACAAATAATTTATTGTAGAGGGTTGTCCATTATAGTCTTAAAATATGTAGTGCAGCGCTAAAAATAAATAATAAAATAGTAGACAAACACCTCTTATAACGGTTCAAAGATGTCTGAATAGCCAATATTACTTATGACAAAGTGTATATTGGTGTATAAATAGCAATAAGTAATGTCCTTAACAGCTGTGTGGTGTTTAAATTATACAAAAAACATCCACTAACTCCGTGATGAATAGTGCAAATGAAAGTCCAAAAAATAAAGATGGTGATGGAACCACAAATATACCTAAAGGAGGTGACTTGATTAAATCCCAGTGACACTTACGATCCGGTGTCATGCAGGAATAATGAGTAAATTGCACACTCACCAGAGGCGCAATATAAATGCGCATTTATGTCATATGTTACAGAGGTCCCCTCAATCCTGGATAGGATGTAGCCTGGAATGGATAACTTCTCAGTGGATAATGGAACTTCTAGTGGTTCCCTTTAAAGGCCTGGCTACGGACGGGATCTGCCAGATACAGCTCTCCTCTGGGCCCTGGGATGGTCACCTGGGCATCCTGGGGGGTTAAATGCTCGATGTGGAGCAGAAAAAAAGCACCCATGGTGTAGTAATTTAATCAAAAATTTAATAAATTTATTGTAAATCAAATTTAAAAACACACTTTTTAGGTACTGAGGTAAAAGCCAATCCTTATGCACAGAAGATGCGGTAAATCTAGAATGCAGCATAAACTGTGGTATACACTGACCAGCTGGTAGTAATGGGTGGCCGCCGGACCTCCGTGATCCGGCGGCTTGACGTCACGGCTAACGGGCTCCTCCTTGATGCACATTTCATATCACACGTACATCTTCAGAAGGGGTAAGCGCCATTATAGTTCAATGTGAACCTGTTCATAACACAAGGAGGTTCCCCACACTTGCACCTTTTTTTACTTTTTTGGGGGTAAAACTTATTTTGGATTGTACCCATAAATTGGTATTTCAGCTAATATATAGACTTCCTTGAGTATGGTACCAACATGATGGGCAGGTTTAGTAAACCAACCAAAGTGAAAAGCAGGATGAGGGTCCTCACTGTTAAGTAGAAGACAGACTTTGTATGTGCGCATGTATATCTTTTGGCCATTGTGAAATTAGTTCACTAAACCTAGTAGAGTGGATCGTATAAACTTTCCTGTCTTTAATGTAAACGATTCAAAGAATGTGAAGTATAGTAATCTATCATTGTTTAGTAAATTATTTGAAAATAAGTTGGGATGGAATGCAAAGCAGCATCATAACATATGCTATGTTTTCATTACAGCAAATGGCCTAATGTCACATCATACAGCACATTTTCTAATTCTGTTTGTTGGTATATGTTTTTCTTTCTAGAAACTTTGAAAACATTTCAAAATGTAATGTAAACCTACGATAAGAAATATGAAGGCTGCCATTGCTGAGCTGATAATTAAAGTGGCCCTGCAGCAGTCACTTGTACAGAATGAATACCCTGTAAAGGAAGAACAGGCAATTACCCTTTTGGGACTGTGTGATAAAACGCAGCTGCTTTGCCTCTACCAAGTTACTTCCACTCACAGGTCTCCAGAAAGGGGTATTCACTCTGTGCAATTGACACTTTGCATATTTTTTTCCCGCATTTGAATCTGCAGAACTATTAAAAATTTTTTTTAAAGAAGGTATGCCACAAGTGAAGCCATTAGGGTTCACACTGATGCAGTGCGGCACATCGCATTTGATTCGCATAGGAACTGCACCGCATTCCTGTGAAAATCACATGCGATTTCTGTGTGGTGCAATTCGAGCCTAACATTTTCAATGGCTCAAATCACACCAAAAAAATTTTTTTGCAAACTGATTTTGGGGTGTGGTTAACTAAACATACATACACACCCGCAACGGTTAGCATGAACGGGGTGCGATCATGATGCAGTGCAGAAATAACACAGAAACCTGTGCAAATTCCACACCGCATCAGTGTGAACCTGAGATACTCTAGATTTATTTCTGGATCCGTGAAGAGAAAGCATTTAAACGAAGTAGCCAGCATTATGAGAAGCAGGTAAACAGTGCTTCCCACACCCATGACAGGTTTCTCTTAAATTGAAAACAAGCAGTTTTGGTATGATAAGGCTAACTGTACTAAGAGTATGCACGCTTGATGAAAATGTTTGTTTCCTCGTTGTCATGCTGATGATTTTCAGTGATCTTTTGACTAGTTAACTGGAAACAAGTATTCAGTTCAGGTATTATGGCTTGTCATAGACTTTAATTTGCTACATGCTTATTGTGTGCCTATAACTAGAAAGTACTGAAACCAGACAACCAGGAAACATGCATCCTGAGAAGGTGGTTTGCAGTGACAGCCCCTTTATATCTCCCATTACAGGTGCAGGTTAAGTGCTTGGTGGTTGTAAGGCACATTTGTTCTTCCCTTCTTATGATTGAACTAGATCAGTGGTGGGCAACCTTTTTTTCCAAATCTCGCCAAAACCACGACTGAAATTTATTTTGAGAGCCACATTTTTAACACTGAAAATACATCCCCCATATAGTAATTCATCCCCTATAGTAATTCATCCCCCATATAGTAATTCATCCCCCATATAGTAATTCATCCCCCATATAGTAATTCATCCCCCCTATAGTAATTCATCCCCCCTATAGTAATTCATCCCCCCTATAGTAATTCATCCCCCATATAGTAATTCATCCCCCCCATATAGTAATTCATCCCCCATATAGTAATTCATCCCCCATATAGTAATTCATCCCCCATATTAAGTCCCCAAGTCCCCCCTGTGTCAATTCACTTACCTTTGCTCCGCGCGTTCCTCTCGCCGTGTTCCTGCGCGCCGTTCCGGTGTAGCATGAAAATCTGTCTCCTATGAGGATCTGTCCCCCTCGACGTATCTGCGCATGTGCCAGTTTCAGGCATTAGCAGCCGATCGGCGATCTCCGGCACATGTGCAGATACGTCGAGGGGGACAGATCCTCATAGGAGACAGATTTTCATGCTACACCGGTCTTCAGGGCGGACTGTGAGAGGAGCCTAGTGGGAGCCTAGCTCCGCGGGCCGGATTAAAAGGTCCGCCGGGCTGTAGTTTGCCCCCATTGCTGCCCTATTGCCTGTCACCTGGTGGGCAGTGTGCTCCGGAGCCGCAGCCAAGGTGAAAAAGAGCCGCATGTGGCTCTGGAGCCACGGGTTGCCGACACCCGAACTAGATGGAGTGGGTGTGTTTTTTTTTTTTTTTTTTTTTTTTTTTTCTTCTAGCCAGACTATGTAACTGTGTAATTAGAAAATCTGATGTCAACATTTTGATTTGTGCCTTATGCACAATACTGCTGTATGATTTGTTATTAAAACTGCTGGATTCTGAAAATCCCTTGGAGATGGACCTGTTGTGCAATATACTCCACTGGTCTCCCTGACCTGGTGACCGGATGCGGCTCTTTGCTTGCTTTTGTCCGGCCATTGACGCATTATTCTTGCTACTGACACCAAAAATGGAGCATGATTCCTGTCACTGACACCAATGATGGGTCATTGTTGACTCCTACTGGTCAGTTTGGCTCCCCTAAATTCTGAAGGACCATTAACTGGCTCTTTTGTTTCGAAAGTGTGGAGTTACCAGATATACTCGTTGGGTAATGTGCTAGAGTTGGGCCTTGAAAAGGGTGTGGGAGCAGAGATGAGCCAGGTCTCTGATTACCAAGCACTGCCCCTTACATCTTAGTTGTGCAATCTCTGAAGCACATTTGAAATTCCATAAATGCCCCTAAGGTGGTACTGGTATGACATGGGCATCTCCAAGTGCCTACACTTTCCTACTGGGCTTGCCTGTGAGCTTTAGATCCAAAGATAACTAAGTAAATGCATTTGGACCAGCTGCCATTGTCAGATCCTCCCTCTAACCTCCTACTCTTCACTACTGTCCAGTGAGGAAGAGGGGATATGTTCAGACTCTGGTTGGAGGAGCTGGTGGAAATTTTGAATACCAGAACATTCTAATGAACTTGGTTCCCATGATGCTCAAGAAGTTTGGTCAGGTTATCGCAATGAACAGATCTTCCTGCTTTCCTATGGACAATGCAACAATTTCACATCCCCTGTATGCGATTGTTGCAGGTAGTACTCAGATAATTTGCTTTTGTTTAGCTTCTTTTTGCCTGCTGTATCAAATCAGTTGATCAGATAAGAGATTGACATTATCTACCCTGACCTTTTAGATGCCCCTACAGCTAAAATATTTTCTGCTATCTAAACAATGGTGTTCTGCACTACCATTAAAAAAAAAAAAAAAAAAAAGAAAAAAAAAAAGTGTGTGTGTGGGGTGGTGGGGGGGGGGGGGGGGGGGGGGGGGGGGGTGTTCACCTTTTTCACCTGTAGGCCAGTTTCACAACAAAAGAAGTCTTCTAGCTTTAGCCTGTCAGCAAACCATTTCATGGCTCCATTCCATCTTACTAGCGTGGACCAGCTGGTAGGATGAGTGTCCCCAAGTGCTACAGGAAGGAGAATGATCCTTTTCCAAAAGGCTGCACATGTGCTGGTTGCTCTCGCTCATGTGGAAGTCACTGAGCTCATGCAAAACTGCCTACAGGTATGTGGCATAAGAGTCAGCGTTTTATAGGACAAATAATCAGGCCCTATCTTGCAATGGGTATGAGTCCATGGCAAAGTACTTAAGCTTGCAGCCAGCACATGCATGGAAGGGATTTGTGAATGGAAAAATCGGAACAAGAACAAAAGTGAAATTGAAGTTGCTGCAAATGGTTGACTAACCTAGTCCTGAAAACAAGGAATCTAGTCCTTCTGGGACAATATCTCTGCAGCCATTCCTCTTTTCTTAGAATATAAAGTGTATGTCTGTGTCTATATAATAATTTTTTTTTTTATCTTGAAAAAAATTGCAGCTTGGATCAGGTAACATATACAGAATGCTTCATAAAGTATACATTGCAGTGTGGCTTGGATATAATTTTAAGAATACTATTATGAGAGAAATGATGCCAAATCCTATCCATGTTGCCAGATTTCCAAGGCACAGAACATTCATTCCCAGGTTCAGCTGGCGGTTTAGACTCAGGTAGAGCATGGCTGACAGCTCAGTTGCTGCATATCACATTAGTATGAGAGCTTTTTCTCACACTCTGTTCTCCCCTTCCTTTGCATGTTCTCTTTTGATAACCAGATCTATCCTGTGTTGTATGGCAGTAGATCTTGGATATTGTAAAGATCATTTAGTGACGGGCTTCAGTTGTTTATACTTTGGCGCACTGCTTGCCTTATGGATGCATTTACCCACCATACAGTCACAGAGAGATTTATGTGAATTTTTTTTCTTTTACTTGAAAGTAGGAATGTTACTGCTATAGTAGTCTATATGAACTTAACAGATCTATGATTTCTGCTTTTATGTACCATTGCAGGTGAGAAGCCTTCTGGGTTCCGCAGTGTGAGGGCCCCCACCACAAAAGTGGCTGCTTCTGTTGGCGGAGGGCAAAAATTGCCAATCTGTGATCATTGTGGATCAGGCATTGTGTAAGTTTACCTTTTTCCTGTTCAGCAAAAGGGGGCAAAGGCATAAATAGCTTTATTGCAATTTTTTTTCCACAGCCCTCATTACAACTAAATGTGCCCCTTTTGAGGATATTTGTAGCAAATTGAGCATCATCTTTATTTTACTTTGCCTGCTTTATAGCATGCATACAGGCTAAAGGCGGGCATAGATGGATTGCAATTCAGCCTGTTCAACAGGGACCAATTCGAATTTTGATCCATGCATTGGTAGACTGTTTGTACAGAAGTTGATCTACAGATCTAGTTCTGTACAACCAGCCTGTCAGGTTATTCCCGATTGGCGGATAAGGCTCCCCACTGTCAGAGTACAATCAATACAGTGACTCAGTGGGAAGGGGGCATCAGGGTAATTTTTTTACATTCAACCCATTGGTTGAATGAAAAGAATGATTGATTAATATATGGCCTGCCTTATTCTATAGAAAGTTCTTACATACAGCAACCAATTAATTAACTTTGATCGTACTTTTAGAATATTGACTTAGAATGTTGCTGAACCTTCGGAACAGTGCCTACCCAACACTGATTTAACTTGCCAGTGCTACAGTTCAACAGCCCCATACTGAAATCTTGATAACGAACTCCTGCTTGTGCCATGTATATAACTTCACATTTTTCTGTTGTGGTGCGTTTGTATCAAGCTGCATATTGGGTAAAGGCAGGCCTTTTATTTGAATAGGCTACAGTGCATCCAGAAAGTATTCACAGCGTTTAACTTTTGCCACATTTTATGTTACAGCCTTATTCCAAAATTGATTAATTTTTTTTCCCTCAACATTCTACAAACAATACCCCATAATAACAACCTAAACCGTTTTGAAATCTTTGTAACTTATTAAAAATAAAAAAAAAAACCATGTAAATAAGTATTCACAGCCTTTGCCATGATGCTCAAAATTGAGCCCTGGTGCATCCTGTTCCCACTGATCATCCTTGAGATGTTTCCACAACTTGATTGGAGTCCACCTGTGGGAAATTCAGTTGATTGGACATTATTAGGAAAGGTATAAACCTCTATATAAGGTCCCACAGTTAACTGTGCATGTCAGAGCACAAACCAAGCCATGAAGTCCAAGGAATTGTCCGTAGACCTCTGAGACAGGATTGTATCAAGACACAGATCTGGGGAATGGTGCAGAAATTCCATAATCCGTAAATGGAAGATGTTTGGAACCACCAGGAATCTTCCTAGAGTGGGCTGCCCAGCCAAAATGCGCAATCAAGGGAGAAGGGCCTTAGCCAGGGAGGTAACCAAGCACTCGATGGTCACTCTGAAAGAGCTCCAGCGTTTCTCTGTGGAGAGAGAACCTTTCAGAAGAACAACCATCTCTGCAGCACTCAACCAATCAGGCCTGTATGGTAGAGTGGCCAGACAGAAGCCACTCCTCAGTAAAAGGCAAATGGCAGCCTGCCTGGAGTTTGCCAAAAGGCACCTGAGGGACTCTCAGACCATGAGAAACAAAACTCCCTGGTCTGATGAAACAAAGATTGAACTCTTTGGGCTGAATGCCAAGCGTCATGTCTGGAGGAAACCAGGCACCGCTCACCACCTGCCCAATACCATCCCTACAGTGAAGCATGGTGGTGGTAGCATCATACTATGGGGATGTTTTTCAGTGGCAGGAACTGGGAGACTAGTCAGGATCGAAGGAACGATGAATGCAGCAATGTGCAGAGACATCCCTGATGAAAACCTGTTCCAGAGCACTCTGGACCATAGACTGGGGCGATGATTTATCTTTCAATAGGACAACAACCATACGCACACAGCCCACATAACAAAGGAGGGGCTACAGGCCAACTCTGTGAATGTCCTAGAGTGGCCCAGCCAGCCCTTGAACCCGATTTGAACATCTCTGGAGAGATCTGAAAATGGCTGTGCACCAACGCTCCCCATACAACCTGATGGAGCTTGAGGTACTGCAAAGAAGAATGGGAGAAATTGGCCAAAAAAAAGTGTGCCAAGCTTGTAGCATCATACTCAAACGACTTGAGGCTGTAATTGGTGCTAAAGGCGCTTCAACAAAGTATTCAGCAAAGGCTGTGAATACTCATGTACATTTTTTTTTTTTTTTTTTTTTTTGTAATAAATTGCAAAGATTTCAAAACTAACTTCTTTCAGGTTGTCTTCCATTGTTTGTAGAATTTGAGGGGAAAAAAAAAAATTAATTTAATCCATTTTGGAATATGGCTGTAACATAAAAAAAAGTGGCAAAAGTTGAGCGCTGTGAATACTTTCTGGATGCACTGTATCTGAGCATCAGAATGGATAAAAAAAAAAAACAACAAACCTGTAACTTTTTTTTTTTTTTTTTTTTTTTTTTTTTTTTTTTTAAATACCATGCACCAAAACGCATGGTTTTATTTTTGTACAACTGAATGCGAACTAAAAGATATCTGAACTTTACAACTGACTGTAACCTTGCTTTTGATAGGGGAGCTTTCGTGAAGATCCGTGACAAACCTCGTCACCCTGAATGCTATGCGTGCAGTGACTGTGGAATAAATCTCAAACAGAAAGGGCACTTTTTTGTAGAGGACAAGATGTACTGTGAAAAGCATGCACGGGAGCGTATGACACCCCCTGAAGGGTATGATGTAGTGACTGTATTCCCAAAGTAAAATTTAGCAATTTCTGCTCACTGCTATGCACAAAATGACATTTCCTACCATTTTAATGCTGAGTGAAGGCTTCTGTTTACCCAACCACGAATATTTGCAGAAAATGATTCTAGAGAGGAAACCTGTGGATTTTTTAAAAAAAATATATAGGAATTTCAATCCAAACATTTCGATGCTGTTTTTTTGTTTTTCATCTTGATTGTAATACTCAATACAGAGAAACTTTATTACACCAAACTGTGTGGCTTTTTTTTTTCATAGCTATAGTGGTAGACAAAGATGTTTCATTATAAAATGTACCTACTTTGTATCACGATCCCCATCATATTGTGAAAAGCAAAACTATCATTTCATAAAGAAGTGTATGGCCAGGAAGAATGAAAATATATTACAGCTGCCTAAGATTTTGCACGGTGGTGTATATAAAGTACTGTAAATTAAGAATGCTTTCTGAAATAGAAGTGTTCATTTACTTTCCATTTTGTTAATCGATAAAAAAAAAAAAAAAAAACTATGAACAGGAGAGAACTCCCAATTAAATCAATATTTTGCTGTAACCACCCTTTTCCTTCAACATGTCATCAGTTCTTCTAGGTACACTTGCACACAGTTTTTTGAAGGAACTGGGTAGGTCTGTTGTTCCAAACATCTTGAACTAACCACAGATCTTCTGCGGATGTAGGCTGCCTCAAATACTTCTGTCTCTTCATGTGATCCCAGACAGACGTAAGGCTCATGAACACGAGCAGATGCTAAACTCGAGTTTAGGAGCTTTGGCAAAAAAAAAAAATTATGCCAAAAGCTCAAACCTAACTCCATAAAAGCCTATGTGTCCATGTACACATAGGCTTTTAGCAGAGTTTAGCAGCTGCCATGGTTAGGTGAGGTAAAATCTCATTCGGGATAGGACCGTTTTGACCGCCAACCATGGTTTTGCCGTGACTTGCGGTTTCACATGGCCGGTGGTCAGAGTAGGCTTGTGTACATGGAGCCTTAATGATGTTGAGATCAGGGCTCTGTGGATGCCAAACATCACTTCCAGGACTCCTTGCGTTAGACGCAAGAAGGTAGTTTTTTAATGACATTGGCTTTGTTTGGGGTTGTTGTCCTGCTGCAGAACACATTTGGGGCCAGTCGCACACCTCCCTGATAGTACGGCATGATGGATAAGTGTTTGCCTGTATTTCTTAGCATTGAGGGCACCATTGATCTTAACCAAATCTCCAACTCCATTTGCAGGAATTCATCCAGACTTGCTAGGAACCTCCACCATGCTTCACTACTGCCTGCAGACACTCATTGTACTGCTCCCCAGCCCTTCGTGAGGGGAAAAAAAAAAAAAAACTGACTACAGCCAAATACAGTATTTAAAATTTTGACTCATCAGTTCAGAGCACCTGCTGCCACTTGTCTGCACCCCAGTTCCTTCCTATGTTTTTGTGCATAGTGGAGTCGCTTATCCTTGTTTAAATGTCCTATGCACAAGAACATAGGAACTGGGATGCAGAAAAGTGGCAGCAGGTGCTCTGAACTGATAAGTCAAAATTTTAAATATTTGGCTGTAGTAAAAGGCAGTTTGTTCACATAGGGCAGGAGAGGGGTACAATAATGAGTGTCAGGTGGCAAGTGAAGCATGGTGGAGGTTCCTTGCAAGTTTGGGGCTGATTTTCTACATGTGATTTTGTTTCCCTATTTCTTGGTTTTACAGGAAGGAGGTAACTGAAAGTGGAAATCTCCCTAATTGAGTAAAACAAAATCATATTTTAAGAAAACATTCTGCCTTCAGTAGTGTAATTGTTTTTAGGTTTAGATAAAGCTTACTGCACTTTTAGATGTGTTGGATGCATGTATTCATGTTTCTTCCATTACACATCCTACCAATAACTTCTGGTCTTTGAGGTGGCAGTGCTCAGTTACTGTATTGTATCTATGAAGTAGCACCAATGTGTAACCCCCTAGCCTGCATTTCTGATATGGGCTACAAACACCTCTCCCTTATATAGCTGAGAAAGTTTATAACTTTTATATGAGGTCACTTGAATTATGACAGAATAAACAAGTGCGCCTGTTCAGGAAAAAGTGAAGAAATACTCTACACCATCCCCCAATCCCCACAGTACTTATCTCCATGGTTAAATGGGCTGTTGGTACCTACGCAGCCAGTGTAGCGGTCTAAGCTTTTGAAATCCCAGCTCTTCAGTCTTCTTTCTCCAGGGCTTCCAGCATGGATCAGAGCAATGTTCCACGTTGGTGCTGACCAATCAGAATCACTCCAATCCATTGCAGATGTCCTACAGAAGGGAGAGTGAGAAGAGTAGGGATTTCAAACCCTAGAACTACTACACAAGCTGCATGGACACTGACCACTTATCACCCATGGTGATAAAGATGCAGGGTGTTCACCTATTTTAATTTTTTTTCTGAAAAGGAAAGTGAACAGAAAAATATCTAGGTAAACTGCAATGTATTACATTTTTGTTCTTGGGTTTGGATATACTCTTAAGTGATGTTTTAATGTGGGTTGTTAATATCTGTACTGAAGGAAAATAGCAGGACTACCATCCCACTCAACTGTATACCATGCAGTCAGTTATTCTTAAACTCGGTATCAGGACCACATCTGCCATATCCAGAGAGTAGCATACAGGTTTCCTTCAAGGTAATTCCAAAGCATATCTGCATGATGTTTCACTTTTCTTTTTTATTCATGCAATATGTCTAAATATAACTAGTACATACATTCTATGTTTTCCATCTCTCAATTGCAAGTTCCTTGTGGGGGGGAGGTGTTTGGTGAAAAATGGTTACATGGTTTTGAGCAGCAAGTCCACCATATGTTCTTGAAGAGCAGCCTTCTCCTCTATACAGCTATCTAAAACACACATTTTGCACTGGATCGCTCATCTCTGGAAAGCAGGTGCTGGAAATCTGAAGTCTCACAGTGAGTCACTCCATACAGAGCTCTGTAAGGAGAGCAGGGAAGAGATCCACCCACCCACAGTACAGAACATGCACAGCTGTTGCTGACAATCACAGGCTGTGTGCTGGAGCTTCCCTATCCAGTCGCCAATATATTTTTTTTTTTCGGTGTAAGGAAAAGCTGGCAGAAGTAATTCTTGCAGATAACAGGAGCAAGGCACCAGAGAGAAATCACACTCATTGCTTTGGCTAGACAAATACACAGGATGTGCTTTGTTCATATTTCAAGAATATAACCACTTTATACTTTTGGTGAATGGGTTTACATGAACCTGAATTATAAAGTTAGTCTTGTGTGCAGAATATCTTAAGGTTATTTGGGAGTGAAAACTACCACCTACCCACAAACCAATATGTTGACAAATTTGGTCTCTGAGCAGATACCTAATGGGATTGATGGGGGAGGGGCTAGTCAGGTAGGAAGAGGGAGTGGTAGGTGCTCACAGAAAAGGAAAGCCAGCCCTGGGATTGAGCACACAACCAGATATGCCAAGTTGGGTGAAGATGTGGGGGTGGCAGCCCTGGATGTCACTGCTATCCTAACAGCCAGGAGAGCAGACCATCTGGGAGGGGTGGTGAGGGTAGTTAGTGCAGGAAGACTGATGGAATAATTTCAATAAAGAAACTGTTGCGCTACTCACAAAACTCAAACAATTCACATATTTACAATAATATAATCACAAAAGGGGAGACTTTCTATGCAGTGACACAATGTGCAAACTAAAAACCATGTGATAAGATCCTCATGAGGCCTTTACCAAATATCTGAAACGTGATATGATCCTAATTGGATCAACAAGTGAATGAAAAATCCACATCCACACAACAGTAAACAATATATATAGTTTACGGTTGTGTGGATGTGTGTTTTTCATTCACTTGTTGATCCAATTAGGATCATATCACGTTTCAGATATTTGGTAAAGGCCTCATGAGGATCTTATCACATGGTTTTTAGTTTGCACATTGTGTCACTGCATAGAAAGTCTCCCCTTTTGTGATTATATTAATGTGAATTATGTCTTTGAGTAGCACAACATCAGTTTCTTTATTGTATTTATTTGATCATTGGTATATGAGTAGATGTTAGCTTCTCTGCGAGTATTTGCACTATATTAAATTTAAAGCACAGGAGGTTTACACCACTATTCATTTGATAGAATTTGTCACCAGGATCACCTCAACCGAATAGTTTGCTGTCTCCCCGGTACCAGGGTTTGGCCTGTTGTGGACTGGGTTGGTAAATTACTGGAGAGGCTGGGTATGATGCAGCTGTCTTGGTCCGGGTTGGTAAATTACTGGAGAGGCTGGGTATGATGCAGCTGTCTTGGTCCATGTTGGAACCAATGACAATACATGGAAGGTGGAGGCTCCTTAAGCATCAAAGAACTAGGCTGCAAGTTGAAGGGAAGGACCTCCAAGGTGACATTCTCTGAACTAGTATCTGTGCCATGCGCGACTTGGGAAAGACTGGGAGATTAGAGAACTCAATGCATGACTGAAGACCTGGTGTAAGAGGGAAGGATATGGGTTCTAGAGTACTGGGCTGACTTTATTATAGTGGAACCTATTATACTAGAGGTTTGCACCTAAATGCAAGGTGGTCTACTGTGGTGGGGGTTTATGCAACAGCTGGAGGAGTATTTAAAATTAGGATGGAGAATTGGATTTATAATGGAGCAGACCAATCAGACAGGGGTCAGTCCTTATTGGTGGGTAGAAGGCTATGGCAGGTGATCAGAAGGTTCCCATGTTACAAACCACCACTCAAATTGGTACCATTTGTACAAAAAGAAAACATATGTAAAGTACAGGTGCACAAGGTGTCAATAAATTAAAGCGTTTGTTTGCCGAAGCCTGCCAAGCAAAATAGGTAAGCTGGAATCTTTGGTGCATGAATAACTGCTGTAATTGGTATTGCTGAATCTTAGCTTCACTTGTCACATGATTGGGCCATTAATATTCCTGGCTATGTTCTCTTTCACACAGAAGATAAAAAGGAAAGGTGGTGGTGTCTGAGA